TTTTCCAGGCTGCTGCAGCATTGTGTCCATCTTCTCTCTTCCGTTTTCTGTGCTCTGCTGTTCTCTGCTCCATATTCGCTGCCCCGTTGTCCGCTCGCTGAACCAGCTTGAACTCCAGGCGTCTCGCTGAAGCAGCTTGAACTCCAGACATCCAGACGTCCGCCAGCTCAAACAGCACAAAGCCTTGAACTCCAGACATCCAGACGTCCGCCAGCTCGAACAGCTATGCCCCGACTACAGTCCATGCCAGCCGCAAGCTCCTCAAGTGTTGCCGCCGCCACCAACCAGCGGGCAACCCCATATCATACCAACCAGGATCAGACCTGGCTAGGTCGCTCCGGCATATCGCCCCTCTGAGAGAGACCGTACACTTCCTTCACGATAGGAGGGAAACAGGTTCCATAGGAAGCTCGCTGTCACTACAGCGATCTTCGGTTCGAAAAGTTCAGGATAGTATCTTGGAAGAGAAAACTCCGCTGACCCTAACTGCACCACCTCACCACGCCACATCCCTGGGACAAGTTCATGTCACCCGTGCTCGGACTCACAGTCAAGCCCTACAGCTGTGTAACTCACCTTCCCCGTGCTAAGCGCCCCGGGGCATGGCGATCAAACTCCACGATGGCAAGCAAAAAACCCTAAATGATAACGCGCTCGCGTCGCCGGATTTGAGCGCTACGGCGCCGCCTTCAACTTCGTCCCCAGCGCCGGAGTTTTTTTTTAGTTTTTAAGCTTACCCATTCTTTTTTTTTTTTTTTTTTTTTTAAATCAATAACCGGGAACCGGGCCCGGCGTCCCTTATATTTCCTCCCCAGAATCGGGCCTGGGGCCAAGTCTCTGGACGTGTTTGTGGAGACGTGCAGTTCAGGAAACTCCACACCATTTCACCTCCGCAAAAGCGTCCACATTCAGGGTTTGAGGTAGCTCAACGCTGCTACGGGTAGTGGGACTTGGCCCCTGGCGTCCCTTACAAAAAGTTCTCCAGTCCTGATTTAGGTGGAGACATCACCTTCCATCCTTAGGCCAATTAGATTTTTCTAGGAGTTCTTTGTCTCATTTTCATGAAATTTTCTGATGAGTTTTCTGAATGTACTCGTTATGGGAAGCTGGGCCCGCTTCCCAGCCAGCTTCCCCGGTTCCCAGTTTGTGCCAATTTGTGAGGATATGGTTGTATCTATGGGACGCTGGACCCGGTTTCCAGCAGGTGCTGCTCCCCACCAATAGATGGAGCTTGGTTGGAAAAAAAAAAAAAAAAAAAAGGGTGGAGACGGGTCAAGCCCAAATGGGTGAAAACCCATTGATTAGTCGCCTGTGTGTGATCTGAGAGTTGGACCAGGATAGAGTGACTTGAA